AATGTATCGAAAGAAAAACATTGTACCGGTAGAACGCCTATGCTATTCTGTGTCGATTAATATTGTGCAGGACAAAATATTCAATATTCACATTTATTTTACTTGAATCTCAATTACAATTTATGATCATATCGTACCCTAACCAAAAACACAAGGACCTATAATTCTATAATTTATTGTTTATTCAAAATTTGCATATCTATTCATGGTAGGTATATACCTTCAGGGTTTTTCGTTTTCGGCTTATTCATCTCCAAGGGCAGGGCGGCGGGTTGCGCCTCTCTGTGAAAAAACAACAATCGTTTTTAAAGCATGCATTAGTCCCAAGAGCATTGTGAAAGGCGTTCTCTACGTTATTCTCGGCGTTCTTGTAACTACTGCCTCATTCTATGATTATCTGTAATAGAATTTATAATCACATATACGGCAACCAATTCAGGTTATCATAGGTTCCGCAGTGAATAGAATAACGTGTTAGGACGGGCTTGATGAAAATTATGCAAAATATAAAATTGGTTAAAAATTTTAACGTATGAAGACTACATACTGCAGGACGGGAGGTCGCTCCTCCAGCGCGGGCCATGGCTCTCATCTTGGTTGCTGCTGCTTCTGCCTCTTCAAGTGCTACGTGAGTATCCTCAAGCTCCGCTTGTGTCTTGCGGTACTTGGCCAGGTTCATGTTGGCGACCTCTTCAGCTTCCTCAATCTGGCGCTTGTAGAGCTTTGCCTTGTTGCCCAGCTTTTCGATCATGTCCTGGAGGTGGGACTGGTTCTTTTTGTCATCTTCCACCTGCATCATCAACTCTTTTACGCGACGATCAGCCTTGCGGTAGCTCTTTTGGGCCTCACTGTGGCGGCGTTGTTCTGCATTCAGCTCTCCCTCCAGCTCACGAATGCGCTGCTCCAGCTTGGCAATCATCTTCTTGCCGCCCTTTAAGACATTTGCTTCAGCCTCGTCGAGACGTACCTGTATATCTTTCAGTTGTCCTTCGACAGACTGGCGAGCCTTCTCCGCATGCTGGGCATGGTCTTGCTCCTGACGCAGCTCCTCAGCAAGACGGGCAGCATCTGCCGCGGCATTCCTTGCCTTCTCATCGGCGTGCTTCATCTCGTTCATGGTTTCCTCAAGGTCGGCCTGCATGGTAGTAAGGTCTCCCTCCAGCTTTCTCTTGGCAGAGTTAGCAGAGGACACCTGGGACTGCATGTCGCTGAGGTGATCGTTGGCTTCATTCAGCTCAGCCTCCGTTGCGCGGCGGTTGCGTTCAGACATCTCCAGTGCAGTACGTGTCTCCTCCAACTCGGCAGTGATGCTGTTGCAACGACGCTCAGAGGATCCCAATCTTTCGGCAAGCTCATCACGCTGACGCTGTTCATCTTCAATCTGGCTCTCAAGATCTTTCATCATCGCCTGGAGCTTCTTCAAATTCTTTTGAGCATCTGCGTTTTGACGGTTGGCACTGTCTAAAGCAACCTCTAGCTGATTGATGTCAGTTTCTAGCTTCTTTTTCATACGCATGACTTCGCCCTTGCCCTTGGCCTCGGCTTCAAGGCTGGCCTGCATGGAGTCGATGGCACGCTGGTGATTCCTACGTGTGGTCTCAAATTCGTCATCCTTCTCAGCAAGGCGCCTGTCAATCTCCTGGCGAATCTGCTGCAGCTCGAGTTGTGAGCGGACGTTCTTAGCCTCCTCTTGTTCAAGAGCAGCTTCAGCCTCTTCAAGGGCAGACTGCAGCTCTTCTTTCTCCTGCTCTGCTCTCCTGCGTGCCTTGTCAACCTCGTGGATGCTCTTGCCTCCCTCGCTCAATTGATCAGCGATATCCTTAATCTCGTCAGCGAGATTCTTGTTCTCTCTCCTCGTCGCCTCCATTGAGTCAGCTGCTTCATCTGCAGCGGACTTTGACTTGAAGAGATCCGTGGAAATGTTGCGGCATTCGCGCTGAGATGCCTCAAGCTCTGCTGCTAGGTCATCGCTCTTCTGCTTCCACTCGCTGACAGTCTTGTCAAAGTTGCGCTGCCTCTTCTCGGCAGCATTAGCTGCTGATGAAGCACGCTCCACCTCAATAGACATATCATCGATTTGGTTCATCAACTTAGTTTTAACCTTTTCCAGTTGGGCGACCTTAGATAGAGCAGACTCGGCAGTATCCTCAGCATTCTGAAGCTTGGCCTGCATTTTACGCCTAAAAGACGTTGTTATTATTAAATTACTTCTTAAATATTAGTAATATATTGCATATACCGTACTGTCTATATGTATCGAACCGTTACTAGTAATGTCAGAAGACATTTTAATGTCCTCTAAGAAAATCACTTTGTGTTTTACTGTATCTATACATACTTAATTTCGTCTGAATCAGCTCCACCGCCACCGAGTCCCTCGCTCTCAACTCGTGCTCGCAGGGTGTTGAACTCATTTGTGATTTTGCTTAGTTGCCGTTGAAGCTGGCTCTTTCCCTCTGCCTCTTCTTCCATTTGTTCTCTCACCTGTTCATTATCGTGCTGAGCATTGCGGAGCTGCGATTGCAGTGATGCTCTTTGCTGGAACATTTAAATTACATAAAGATAGTGCCAAGTTTTTCATGCACTATGATTTACTTCGAAATCTGTATTTTTCGAACTTATACACTTATACTCATTTAAAAAATATTTAAAACTCACTTACCCGCGACTCATCCTCTGCTGTATTCTTCACTTCTTCCAACTGGCTTTGGAGTTGGGCCTTTACTCGATTTAGCTGACTAAGCTGTGACTCGGATTCTTCCAGTTGGCGCATAAGGTCGTTATTCTCGGCAGCTGCACGTGACTTCTGAGCGTTCATGTCATTGATGGTGCGTGTGGCCTCGTCTAATTTGCTGTTGGCTTCGGAAAGCTGGCCCTCCAGTGCCTTAGACAACTTATCAGCTTGCGTCTACATAATAAGAAAAGCTAAGTAACTAACGCGTATTACGTTATTTGGATTTAAATTTGAACGTTTTATGATAGTATTTGTAACAAAGCGATCCGCAATAATAATAGCATCAATTAAAGTGTCTCTATTTCATTTCAGCTGGGTAACTAGCACGTTGAGTTTCTTAGTTTTATGTCAAACAATATACTATGTTTATTCTAAATTCGGATGAACAACTGGAATTCAATAATAGGAATTTCTACCTTGCTCTTGGCCAAGTGGTCGATGTTTGCCTTTGCATCATCAAGTTCGACCTTCAGTTGCGATTTTTCTTTTTCAATCCTGTTGAAATAACTGACAGTTAGTTTTAATGCGAGTTGTAAATTTTTGAAGTATAGTTGAATAGGAGAATAATGATTCCGAGACTAATTTGGCCGAGGACCATATGTAATCTAGTTTGATTGATTTGCAATGTCAACAATCGTCATTGTTCTAATTATATTTAATATTAACAAGGAGTGTTTCATGTAATTGTAATCTAAAAAAAACTTCTGACTTACTTGGCTTTGATCTTCTGCAGCTGGTCAATCTGCTCACCCATCTCAGCAGTCATATCATTCTGCTTTTTGCGCAACGCAGATATCGTAGCTTCATTTTGCAGAGCTTGCTCCTCAAGATCACGACGCAGCTTTGCCAATTCAGCCTCCCGCTTCTTGTTCAGCTCTACTTGGGCGCTGGTGGCGCCACCTGCTTCTTCCAGGCGCTCAGTCAGCTCCTCCAGCTCACGCATAGCATCAGCACGCTGCTTCTCTACCTTGGAGCGAGACTGCCTCTCTGCTTCGACCTCTTCCTCGACCTCCTCAATGCGGGCCTGCAGTTCCTTAACCCTTTTCTGCATTTGGTGAACACTGCTTTGCTCATCTTCACATTTGCTTCCCAGCCCAGCGATCTCTTTGTCCTTCCTACGAACGTTCTCTTCTAGCTCCTGTTTGGCGCGCTCTAGTTCCTCAACAGCTTCCTGTGTCATCTTGAGGTCACCCTCGAGCTTCCTCTTTGCTTTTTCCACATCTCCACGCACCTTCTTCTCGCGCTCAAGGTTGTCCTCGAGTTCATCAAGATTTTGCTCAAGCTTAGCCTTCAGCTTGTTAAGATGGTTGCACTTGTCCTCTTCTTTCTGAAGATCTTCAGAAGTTCGCTTTAAAGTAAAATAGATAATCACAGTATTATAGTTTTCCATTGAATGAAATCTCTCAGATTAAATCGATTTATTATCCATGGTACTAATATTGATAATGCTAAACAGTTGCGTTAAATACAATAAAAATTTGTATACTTCTTAATATTTACTTAAATATTAACGTAAAAGAAATATTTACCGATTGATTTTCTTCAACGTTATTTTTTTCTTTGTTGACTTTGGCAATGAGCTCTTCCTGGCGGGCAATCTCATCATTTAGTTGCTTGATCTGGTGTTCCTTGGCTGTCTTCTCGCTCTCGACCTTCTTCAGGTTACGTTCAAGATCCTCAATGTTGCTCTTCATATCAGAACATTCACCTTCAACTTTCTTCTTGGCAGCAGTGACAGCTGAGGATCCTTCCTCTTCCTCTTGAAGACGGCTTCGAAAGTCAGCCAGCTGCTGTTCCATTTCTGCCTTTTGTTGCATCAGCTTGGTGGCTCTCTCCTCAATGTCGGCAATAGTAGAAGACTCTCCCTCTACCTGTGAGTACAGGTCAGACTTTTCCTTTTGGAGCTTAACTATCTCGTCTTCCTGAGCCTTACGCAGTTTTGATTCTTTTGCCAGTTCTTCCTTAACCTTTTCAAACTCTTCCTTCATTTCCTTCATTTCGTCCTCTTGGCGAGCAACAGACAACAAAGGCTTAACCTTAGTGTACAGTTTCCACCATGGCCAGTTGCGGCACTGGATGTACTTCCTCACGTTACGTTGGATAACAGCCATTGCCATACGCTGTGCCTTCATGACAATAAACTCTTCCCTCATCTGCTTGCCGCGGATCCATGCTTGCATCAGTGTGACAATGCGCCTGATACGCTCCTCTCTCAGCTCTTCTAGCTTACCGAGTGAACCTGCCTTGAAGAAAACTTTCGTATGCCCCAATCTATACATTTCTTTATCCCATTCCAAAGCATTGAGGATGTTTCCAGCAACTTCTTTACTGTCTGCAAATCCAGCTGGAACCGCGTTTGGTGCTAAGATCTGATACCTGAGATAAGATCGAATAATATAAATATATAGATATGTATAATCATATATAGAATATTACCGAACAATAATGTTTACCTCATTATATGCATTTTTCAAATTAAATAGTAAATAAACAACACCGCGTATAATGATTCTTATAATAACAATAATATTGCTATACGCTTGCCTCTGTTTGAAGTCGCCATAGACCAGCCTGTTGGGGAAGCCCTTGCGGCAAATACGTATTCCTTCTAACACACCGTTGCAGGTCAGTTGGTTCATTACTAGTTCAGCATCCAATGCACCTCCCTCCTTGTTTTCGTTGGGAATGATGCAGCGTACGAAGTGAGGTGAAGTGCTCTCCAGCGTACGCATCAGTCTGCCAAGTTGTTCCTGCGGTTGGTCACAACGTTTTGCGTTAAGTAATTAATAGCTGTGACAATACGGGTGTCGCATAAATTTAAACGTTTCGCATTAAGTATTGCAATTATCTCCCCTTATCGACATGTACCACACATGATAACCATCACCATCATCGCTAATGTAACATTTCTCGGTAATGTATATATATATATATATATATATATATATATA